GAACGCGGGTTGGGAATTTGTTTCATTTGAATCAGGGCTCACCCTGTGTCCCATCGTGGCCTCCGACTCTTGGGTTGTGTCCGGGGCTACAGGGGTGCCTGCCACCTCTTAGACTGGCCATTAGAATTTATTGTGGTTAAGCACTGTGGGCGTATGCTGGGTTAAGAAACGAAACAAACAAACAAGCCAAACTCCCACCATACAGGAAAAGGAAATGACAGGTGATGGGGTTTAAAAATGGAACTAATATTATTTATTTACAGGCAAACCTACAAAAGGGGGGCTGCTCTGACCCTCAAGACACAGAGAAGTTGTATAGATTTTTTTCCCCCAAAGTCACATAGTTGGCCATACTGTCTCTGAGACTCAAACACACACATGCACACTGTAAGCTCCGTGTGAGATTTTAACACGACAGCGGTTATCACAGCACAGACTTTCGCTGTGAGAGCGAGTTCTCATTCATTTCCTCAGTGGGCGAGGGTTTATTGAGCATGTACTACATACCTCTCTGCCTTTGCTGCAACACTATCAATTAGGAACAACACAGTTCCACTCTTGAATCAGGTGGAGTTCAAGGCCAGCTTAGTCAGTCTACAGAGCAAGTTCCAGGACAGCCAGGGCTACACAGAGAAACCCCCGTCTCGAAGAAACAACTACAACAACAAAGTCCTGGTCTGTACGTTATCAGTCCCTTAAAACCAAATGCAGCACAGAAATTAAAAGAAAATGGAGCTGCAAAGATGTCTTGAGCGCTGGTCGCTCTTGCTGAGGACCTCGCGTGACGGCTCTCACACCCCCTAGTTCCAGTCACAGCAGATGACATCTTCTGACCTCTGTGGGCACGGGGCGTGGTGCACGCGCATACACGCTGACAGACATTCATACACAGAAAATAAAAATAAAATCTTAAATACCAATAAAACCCGCTGGGGAACATATGTGCATTACTTCCATTTCTGATTGCCCTGACGAGGCACCCTGACAAATGAGGAGAGAATTTCAGATTACAATCCATCGTGTCAGGGAAGCCAAGGCACTTGACCCCACCTCAAGGCCGTGTCGACACAAAACCCACACAAAAGTGACATAACAAAGTATGCCACTGCTTGTTTTGGGGGTTTTCTGGACAGCTGGTGTTAGCCATTTTGTAATGACTAATAAGCTACACCCAGTATCCAATGTCTGCCATCATGGCCCATGCCAGATACCTCTGCCAGCCATGTTGTCTAACCGTAAAGGAAACTGGCACAGTTATAGTGGCTGTGCAGCCTCTAGGTCCACACTCTGTTAAGAGCCAGGTAGAAAATATCAGAGCCTTGCTCCCTAAAAGGTACAGTGGAGTTTACCGTGTAAGCACTTACATGATGTCTGCACAAAATTTATGCTGACAAAATTCAAGATGTAATTAGCATAATCTTAAAAATACTTTTTTTTTTGCCTACTAATAGGAGGAATGAAATTCTTGGAGAGGATAATATTTTGCTTAACTGGCTCAGAGTTAGTAACACCCATCATCAAAATCTGTGCCAAATTAAAATTAGCGGGGTTTTTTGGCAGGGGCTGGGGTTTTTTGTTTTGTTTTGTTTCTTGAGAAATGGGTTTCTCTGTGTAGCCCTGGCTGTCCTGGCACTCTGTGTAGACCAGGCTGGTCTTGAACTACCAGAGATCCACCTGCCTTAAGAGTGAAAGTGTTGTCTCTAATTCATAGTGTTGCAGCAAAGACAGAGAGGTAGGTATATAGTACATGCTCAATAAACCCTCAGCTGCCTCCCGAGTGCTGGGATTGAAACTGTGCACCACCGTAGCCCAGTGGAAAAAATTTCTTTTAAGTTCTGTGGGGAAGGGTGCATAGCTGGAGAGATGGCTCAGGTGTTCATTGGCTGCTTTTCCAGAGGGGCTGGGATTCGATTTCCAGCACCCACATAGCAGCTCACAACTGTCTGAAACTTTAGTTCCAGGGGATCCAACACCTTCTTCTGGCTTCTGAAAAAATAAAAATAAAAAGTCTTGTTCATTCTAAGCATGTACAGACCTTTGTTTTTCTTGTCAGTGTGCCTAATGACCCAATGTAATAACTATTGCTATCATAGTTGGTCAATGTGATTCTTGGCTAGAATAAGTAGTGTAGATGATTTAAAGTATATGGGAGTATGTACATGGGCTATATACAAGTGCCTCACTAGTGTGTGTGTGTGTGTGTGTGTGTGTGTGTGCTTGTGCTCTTTGGTATGGATATTTGTGTTCATGTATGTGGATGCCACAGGTGGATATCCGATGTCTTCTTGGCCTTATTTCAGAGATAAGGTCTCTGAAATGAGACTAGTCAGCCAGAGGGCTCAGGGGGTCTGCCTGGCTCTACCCTAACATTGGCACTACGGTGAATGTGGCCGCACCCACCTTTTGTGGGTGCTGGAGGTCTGCTCTCAGGTCTTCATGTTTGAACAGCAAGTGCTTTACCCACTGAGGCACCTCTACTGCCTTGGTACCGTTGAGGACTTGTACATCCTCAGGTTTGGGTACTCCGGGGATCTTGCAACTGATGTCCTTAAACTGCTAAATTTAAGTTTTTCATGAGATCTCCGAGCCATTCAAGGAAGCATGGAACCTGAGGAGGTGTTTGTGGGAGCCTCTGACTCATAGGTCGATAGGCAGAAGTACCAGGGGCCCAGACTACGGCTGACATCCAAAGTTGAGGTGTCCTGTGGGCTGGGCTGCTATGTCCAGGTCGCCAGTGTCAGAATCAAACTCAGTTAAGACAGCAATAACCACCCTGGCACTGAGGATTTAGCTGTAGCACTTGCCTAACATGTGCAAGCTTTGGTTTCCCTTCCCAGCACCAGGAAAAGGCAGAGTAACGCTTCCTGACTTCAGGTCAGCCAATGCCACGATCCACACTGACAGCTTGTGCTGCATCAACAATTCAAAGTATTTTGTAGGGAGAAGAAGCGTATTTGGGCTTAGCATAAATATTGATTCACAAGAAAAGTCGTAACTCTAGCTCTGATTAAGAAGATACACTTTAGAGCCGGGTGTTGGTGGCGCACGCCTTTAATCCCAGCACTCGGGAGGCAGAGGCAGAGGCAGAGGCAGGAGGATCTCTGAGTTCGAGGCCAGCCTGGTCTCCAGAGCCAGTGCCAGGATAGGCTCCAAAGCTACACAGAGAAACCCTGTCTCAAAAAAAAGAAGATACACTTTAAAGGTTAAGAAAGCAATTCTAAAATAGACAACTAGTGCCATGTATAGTCTTTCTGAAACTGGCATCTGTGTTGGTTACTTTTTTTGTTGCTGTTGTAAAATACCATGACCAAAGGCAACTCAAGGAATAGTTTGTTTTGGCATCTGTTTCCAGAGGACTAGATGTCCATGGAAGGCATGGTGGCAGGCGGCTAGAACAGGAAACTGATCACATTTCAACCATATACAAAACTCAGAGAGCTTGAACTAGAAGCGGGGAGAGGCTATAAGCTCTCAAATGTGAGAGCCTATGCGTGTAAGGGGCAGGATGAGGGGCATTTTTCACTCCAGCCCCCATAGCATCTTTCTGCAAGACAGGCGAAGATGAACAGATTGGACTACTGTTCAGAATGCCTGCATATCAAAACAGCAAGAACTACCCTAAAAAAAAAAAAAAAAGAATAAACCCACTGAAAAATTCGGGGCAAGAAACCAACAGTGATTATGTCTACAATGCAAAGTGTCCCTCAAATCAAACAGAAGACAAGTCCTCTGAAGGCAAAGACAAGCCATAAAAAGAAACCAACCATATAGAAACATAGTATTTGACTCTCAGGTCATAAGAGAAGCAGAAAATGGAAAAACTGAAGTACTCTAGGTATAAGGTCAACCCGAGGCACTTTTCATCTCTAGCTGGTTTCCCTATGCCCAGCCTGCACCTCCATGACTCCTCCCTTTGTTAGACACCCTTGACTCACACTGTTTTGGGGCCACCTGTTTCCCGTCAGGCCCTTACTGGTGCCAGCAGCATGTAGCAAGCCAGAGATCTGTTGACAAGTTCTACATACAAACTCATAAATAAGCTAAAACTTCAACAATCCAAATAACCCCAACAAGACGCTGGTTGAGCAAATTATTATACCTTGGTTCAGATTATAAAAATACATTAGAAAAAGAAAAGAAGGAAAATCCATTAGTCATCTTATTGTATGTGGTGATACATTGCTTATGATCTAATAAAGCAATGTGTCTAGTACTTGGGATCACACACCTTTAATCCCAGCACTAGGGAGGTGGAGACAGGAGTGAGATGGTTGGGCAGAGAGAGGAATATAAGGCCAGGGAGGATTGCAGTCTGAAGCTTGGTGGAGAGCAGCTCAGTCTGCATTGCGCTCTGGGGATTGCTGGAGACAGGATCACCCATTTTGGCCTGAAGTAGAGGTAAGAGCTACTGGCCAGCTGCTTTGCTTTTCTGATCTTCAGCTTGAACCCCAGTATCTGTCTCTGTTTTTTTTTTTCAAGACAGGGTTTCTCTGTGTGGCTTTGGAGCCTGTCCTGGCACTCGCTCTGGAGACCAGGCTGGCCTTGAACTCACAGAGATCCGCCTGCCTCTGCCTCCCCAGTGCTGGGATTAAAGGAGTGCGCCACCACTGCCCGGCTTATCTTTGGGTTTTTATTATTCGTGCTACAATTGTAGAAGATGAAGATGGTTACTGATGGAATGGAGCAGTTGTTATTTTTGTAACTGGGAAAAATGCATGCTTTGCCTCTGTGAAAGGCAAGCCTCGTGAGAATGAATCGGGTTAGAAGCATGTGATCCCTTGTGCTATCTATAAACTGACTAAACCTCATAGGCCAGGCAGGGCTCCTTGGCTCTTTGGGGAAAGGGTGGACTTTAAGGATTACGGATCCCCTGCTGTTTGCACCTCAGAGCCCAGAGGTGTTGTTGCTTTCTGGACAGTTCAGCTTCTACATAACTAAAGGAACAAAGAAAAGAAATTCAGTCATGTGACCCACCCTTCCAAAAGAGCAAGGGTACTGACCCGGACCCCTTCATCTCCAGATTTTCAGAGGCTTGGCCAGCTTCCTGCTCCTAATTGTCATCTCAGTCACTGCTCTGGGCTGGTTCAGGCTGGGCTGGTCTCTCCTATGGAGGGCGGAGCAAAACTGCCGTCCGAGTTAGCCTTGCTTCTGGTTTCCCAGCTTTCTTCTGAGAGGGCTTCTCCTGACCCAATTCCGTGAGCTCTGGCATTTGTGCGAGGTCGAACACTATGTGAAATGACGTGAACTTGTTTTCCTTTCTCCAGCAGGAATCTGGAGCCGCTGGTTTGTTCTAATTTTCTTGTTTTAGTTTCTAATCTTTTCTCTAATGGGTGCTCAGCTGCTTCGTTGGTAACTATTCGAAGTTGGTTCTTTGTGTTAAAAACAGGCTGAGAGAAAGTTTGTTCCTCCCCCTCCACCTCCCTGTCTTCTCTCTCTCTCTCTCTCTCTCTCTCTCTCTCTCTCTCTCTCTCTCTGTCAGTTCTTCTTTCTGATGTAGTCTCAGATAGCCCAGGTTAGCCTCATACTTACTACATAGCCAAGGATGACCCTGAACTTGAACTCCTGACCACCCCCACCCCCAGAGGAGCTCACACACCTGCACCACCATGCCTGACTATGTCCTTCTGTAAAGTTTCTCTAAAAACAATTATATTTATTTCGCTATGATGTTCTGACAAATGGCCACTAACTTGGCAGCTTAGGACGACACAAATTTATGTGCTGATTTTAGAAGCCCCAAGTACAGAATAGATGACTCATCAAAGCCATATCCTCTCTAAAAGCTCTGGGGGAGAATCCTTGCAGATGTTAAATAAAAACTGGAGGTCAGTGTTTGGACTACGCCACGCCAGGATCCAACAGACAAGACTAAAAATGTGCAGTCGCTCATGTTCAAGCTGTTAGATGGGCACTAAAGTAAAAACTTCTGGTCAAGACAATAGACCTCTGGCCTGCATAGAGACCTAGTATTCTGCCTGGGGGAGTCAGTCATATGGCCATGGGAGAATCCCTCAGAGAGGAGAGGCTGCCCTAGAACCGGTGGACTGTCTTAAGCAATGCTAAAGAGATGGGTGGCATAATTGTCTCTTTTCTGGATTTTCAAGACAGGGTTTCTCTTTATAACCCTGGTTGCCCTGGAACTCACTCTGTAGACCAGGCGAGCTGACTTGTCCCAGGGTGAGAGAGAGAGTCAGTAACTTCTCCCTCTCTTAACTGTTGTACACCAATTCTGCTATTGGTTATTTGTTGGAGTTGTGTATGTACAGCCCACGATTTTGTGTGTGGCTTGGCTTTACTAAGCCCATCCTGGCTTCAAACTTGGGATTCTCCTGCTCCAGCCTCTCTCCTGCCCCAGCCTCTTCAATACTGAGATTACAGCCATGGTCCCCAACATCTGTTGGGTGTCACAGTTTGAATGGAAAAGTATCAGAGAACATGGGGACATGTTTCTAAATGACTACACTACTCCACCAGTGAGGTGGGAAGCTGGTATGCAAAGGGAAGCCAGGGCTGTTACACAGAGAAACCCTGTCTGGAAAAAACAAAACAAAGAAACAAACAAAGAATTTCCTGGAACTCAGTCCTACCCTCCAAGTGTTAGTAATGTTAATAATACTATTAATAATAATAATAATAATAATAATAAAGCAACAAACATTTGCTGGGCACAGGGCGTGCCAGGCACTGGAGGTTACAGAGTGTTACATGAGGCAATAGTTTTAGACTCAGGTCTTGCACCAGACTTCAAAGACAAGGCTGAAGATCAAAATGGAGTTAAAGTCACCAAGTGTCACCAAGCTGAGCTGTTTGTCTGACCTTCTGAGAAGTCAGCATCAGACAGACAAGAGACAGATTTCTCAAACAGGCCCGTTCTGTCTGCCTTAATCCCCACACAAAAGCCTAACCACAAGTAACCTGATGGAATTTACCAGACTATTCCCTGTTGTTCTGTGCTCTCCGTGCCTGTCTTACGAGTCAACCCTGGAGCAACCGTCTACACTCTGTTCTTGTTTCTGTCCATACCACCCACCCACCGCCAGGCATTTTCTGTCTGTAAAACCAACCTCTTCTGCTCAAAATAGCACATTCCATTTTCTGAAATGACACGTTTCCCATTGTTGAGAATAAAGCCAATGTAAAGTGTAGTCTTTGTCCTTTTGACAAAAGAGGATGGAGGCCCAGCACCACCGCTGACCAGCACAGCGGTTTATAAGACTCCAGGAAAAAGACATTTATATGTGCACGGTCTGATTAGCCTGGCCTAACGTGTGGGGCTCTGGGCTGACCCTCGGCACTGCCAGGTAAGTAAGTAAATACATAGACCACAACTAAGACACAGTCTTGGAGAACTGGGCTCTAAGACACTTTTCCACAATTAACTTTCTCTTGGCTCCTTGTCGGTTGTCAAAACAGTCTTGTTTTGTTCTATTTGAGGCAAGGTTTCCTCACGAGGCTCACGCTCACCTTGAGCTCACTCTGTCTTCTAGCCCGGCATTAAGGTGGTGACCCTCCTCTCTCAGTTTCCTGAAGGCTGTGGTCACAGGCATGTGTCACCATGCTCAAACTGGAGCTTGCTGCTGATGGTGTTTGTTAAATATTAAAATGTTGGGAGGGTTTTTTGTTTTGCTTTTCTTTCAAGAGCTTTCTGAATTGGACTAAAGAGAGCTTTTCATGTTTCTCAAAAGAGACCAGATGCCACACAGGGCAGGATGGCACAGCCACACTGACAGCATGCCCAAAGCTGAATGACATCAAATGTAATTTTCCGACTTAATTAAGCCTGAAGCCCACAAATACTCTTTCTCTCTAACCACCCTTTATGACAGAAAACAAAAATCAAATGACTTGAAACAATGAAGAAATCCTGCAAAACAATTTAGGGTTTTGTTGCAAAACAGCGAATCCTCCAATGTCAGTTAAGAGCAAAAAATAAAAAAAAAAAAAGACCACAAAAGGCTCCTGCCTTCCCATGTACTGCAATAGAGTGACGAGCAGTGACTTCCTGCAGCCGGAAGAAATCTGGGCCAGGACTCGCCTGTCTGGGGAGCTTCCCCTGGGACCTGTGCTAACAGCTCGGCCATAGGCTGCTCAGTTTCAAAGATTCCCTTCCTTCCCAGGCCCCAGAAACAGCACTGCCTTTTCAGATTTCTGAGAATTGCGGTAGTGTTGTGGTTTGAATGAGAATTGCCACACAGGCTCGTAGATTTGAATGCCTGGGCACCAGGGAGAGATGTCAGTTGAAAGTATTAGGAGGTGAGGCCTTCTTAGAGGAGGTGTGTCACTGGGGGTGGGCTTTAGGTTTTTAAAAGCCCAAGCCAGGCCCAGTGGCTCTCCTTGCTGCCTACAGATCTGAATGTGGAACCCTCAGCTACTCCTCATCTCCCATGTCTGTCTGCATGACGCCATGAGGATAATGGACTAAACTGTAAGCAAACCCCAATTAAATGCTTCCTTTTATAAGAGATACCTTGGCTATGGGGTTTCCTCACAGCAATAGGACACTGACTAAGACAGGCAGCAGGTAGGTTTGGAGATTGTTTGCTGCCTTTTTGTTGTTGTTTTGTTTTTGCTTTTTTTTTTTCCAAGACAGGGTTTCCCTGTGTAGCTTTGGAGCCTGTCCTGGAACTCACTCTGTAGACCAGGCTGGTCTGGAACTCACAGAGATCCGCCTGCCTCTGCCTCCCGAGTGCTGGGACTAGAGGCGTGCGCCACCAACGCCCGGCTTGCTGCTTTAAAGTGTGGTCACTGCTTAGCACCCACTCAACCCAGACCCCTGCCTCTCTGCCACGTAATCACCATTAGAAGTTTCATTCACATGAGATGTTTGTGGGGGAGCAGCCGGCTTTGGGTTGGTTGTACACTACAGGACACAGTGCCAACTGTTTATCATCTGGGGGAATTTCTTTCAAGGCTTTGGACCGCCTAAGGAGCCCTGCATGGACAGGGTTCCTCCTCCTCCTCCTCCTCCTCCTCCTCTCTCTCTCTCTCTCTCTCTCTCTCTCTCTCCACTTCCCTTCTTTCCTTTCATCCACCTGCCTCTGCCTCCCGAGTGCTGGGATTAAAGGTGTGCACTGCCACCGCCCAGAAAATTCTAGGAAATTAAGGCCAAACTACTTTTTAGAGGTCAAAATGAAGTCTCTGAACAAACGTTTCTCTTTTTTAATTCAGACAGGTCTGTGGCAGAGCCTGTGCTGTGGCAGGGGCTGTGGCAGGTCCTGTGGTGGGTTTGGGAAGAGGTGTGGGGGAAGGTGGCAGGTGGCTGGTATATTGATCCCTGCTACGTAAGTTCTGTGACGCTGGTGCTTTTAAACAGGCCGTGGTCTATTTTCAAAAGCGTCACTTCCAAATGTCATGGAAAAATAGCCAATCGGCGGAGACGTCACAAGGATCCGCCCACGGGGAGCCCTGTCTGACACTGAATCAGAGGCCTCCCCACCTTGTCGTCCTTTGATCTCCTCAACTCCCTGCAGTGCTCCCTCCCTCCAGATGTGCTTTTCTGTGGTTCCTTTGGCTTTCTCTCCTATCTCTCAGCAGCATAGGGTGTGGCTGGAGACCGCGAGCACGCTGGTGCCTGAAGTGGACGCAGGGATTCCCGGTGTAGACCTATCTACTCAGGTGAAGCAGGGGTTGTTGGCAAGGTCACAGAAAAGGAGACCAAGCTGGTCTGAAGAGCTGGACTCGGCATCGATTTAAGCATGGGCCTTGATGGAGAGAGGTGCTGAGAGAAAGGATAGCATGAAACCAAGCGTTAGTGTAGACCTCTGTCGTCACTAAGCACACACAGACACACGCATGCACACGTGTGCTTGAACAAAGTCTTCCCATTTTCCGTTGTTTTTTTTTTTTTTCTTTGCATGTTCTAGAACCACAGTGAGAAGTTACCTTTTGGTTTGTTTGTTTGTTTTTAAGGTTTTCCAGACAGGGTTTCTCTGTGTAGTCCTGCTGTCCTAGAACTCACTCTGGAGACCAGGCTGGCCTTGAACTTACAAAGATCCGCCTGCCTCTGTGTCCCAAATGCTAGGATTAAACGCATGTGCCAGCATACCAGCTGGCCATGGATTTCTGATCCTACTACCTCCACTTCTCCAGTGCTGGGATTCCAGGCTGGCAACACTAAATCTGGTTTTTCATTCCAGTTATTTTTTTGGGGGGAGGGGGTTGGTTTTTTGAGACAGAGTTTCTCTAGAGTTTTGGAGCCTGTTCTGGAGCTGGCTCTGTAGACCAGGCTGGCCTCGAGAGAAAAGCATGTGACCAAGACA